CTAATTTAATATATTGGTGGTAAAAATGATAGATTTTAAATATTTATAAAGTAATATATGAGTAGGAATATAAATATCATCAGTGCCACGTAACCTAAATTAACAATAATATTAACATCGTTAACTATTGTCCTTAATTGCATTACTTTTGTAAGTACAGGGACTAAATTGAACAAAATAAAAGTATAAAGACTAAATTAAACAAAACGTTATAGTACATGGACCTCGTAGGTACTTTAACCTGAATTGTTAAACCAAGATGTTTATTTTTGGGTTTAGGAATTAGGCTTCGAATCTAGCTAATAATAACAATGATCACATATTTCAAAAAAAAAAAAAAAAAGAAGAGAAGGAATGAAATATATAATAGTCATTGTAGTTATATTTTTTAGCAATGTAAATGTTTTAAACATTATAAATTTATAACTATGGAGTATGTTTCAAGCTAGCTAGGTTTTAGTGTTTTACCATTTTTAATGTGAATTGTCGGTCTAAAATTATCAGAAATGTTATTTATTTATACCAAAAGAGATTCTTATATTCTTCATAAATGCAATAAAGTAGTGGATGAAGGGTACAAATTTGGAAGGCAATGACTCCATACGCGGGTTCCCTACGTTCACTACCTTTGAATATAATATTTTAGACGTCACATGTTCCAATTGTGAATTTTGTTTTTATCCCCTCTTTATGCCTATAATCCCAACCAAGTACCCATTTAGGTATGTCACCTATTACTATTGGGTTGTGGGTTATTAGCGGGGCGGATTTTGAACTGTGCAAAATGTCCAAGTATAAAGTCTCAATTATTAGACGGTCAAATATTTATTTTTTACCAAGCCACTTAAGAAATAAAAAAAAATTGTAATTAATTGTGCATGCTGCATGGCAAAACTGTTCCGTTTTTTCAACGGCACAGATGATGTCTCAAGCCGTGAATCTGCGTAGATAACTTGAAATATGTACCATTCACCAGTTCACTATTAATATTGTCTAAAAATTGATTCTTTCCCCCTAATAGATCGTTCTACTTGCATTTCAAACGATAATGACAGTCTAGCAGGTAATTTCAAGATGTTTAAAAAAAAAAAAATTATGTTTGTTTGGACTTTTGAGAGAGTAGATTAGTAAGGATATTAATTTTATTTGTCCGTCACTTACCATATTTTGAGATTTCCCTCCAAACACGAAAGAGGATAGGGGATGGGGCTGCAATTATCACTGCCCCTTAAATAGCAACATACGATAAAGCCAAAGATGGAAAATGCGGGCATCGTACGGACAATGGCTTCCTGCTGGAGGGGAGAACGTGGATCCGACGGCTCAGAGCATTCCACGCGTCAGCGTAGCGAAAGGGAAGGGTGTAGGATGTCGGACGGGAAGCGCGAGGAAGAGAGAGGGGACTGTGCCGCCGACAAGCAGTACATCTGACACGTGGGAACATTATTTGTGGGCCCCACATCAGCACGTGTCATCTCTATACGCCAAACTTTTCCTCCCATGAATTGCGGGATTCTCATTTTCTTCGTACGGATCGAACTGTTCTCCGTCGTGTGGCAAACAGCTAAACTAGATGATTTAAAAAAAAATAAAAATAAAAAAATAATATTATTAACAATAATTGGCTAATTGCATTTATTTACGGAGTATTATTTTATTTATATATTACCTAACAAAATGGTGAAGAATATATATATATATATATATATATATATATATATATATATATTGTACTTGTAATATTTATTTCTAATTGCTCTATAAGAGGAAATGGGGGGATTCTACCCTTCCATTATTGGGTGGCTTATTTATTTATTTTTATATAAGTTAAAAAACAATAAACAAGTGATAATGTTCAAATGTATTAAGTAGGGATAATCTATGAAACATTTGAATATAAAGAATTTTTTGAATAAGTAAAAGATCTGAAGTATATAAGAGTCACATAAGTTTTTTTTTTTTTACTGTCATTTCAAATAGGGCTATATCTATATTGTCATTTATATATTAACTAGTATTTTTTATGCGCGACGCGCAACAAATAGGTGCCCAATATTAATACATTATATTAAAATTTTAAATTTATTTAAATTTTAGATATTTAAATTATTTTAAATAATAATTATAATAATGTAAATCATTTTTATAAATTTGATATTTATATTTATGTAATAATTAACATATAACTCAAATATTTAATGTGTATATATTATTATTAATGTAGAAGATAAGAAAATATATGGTGGATGCATGTGCATGGTAACAATAGTGGAAAAGATAACGGAAGTTATAACGGTAGGGGTATGTTTGTCCAAAATATTTTAATGAACAACCTTTATAGCATAATGTACAAAAAAAACTTAATGGAAAAAACGAACATAAATCAGGGGTATAACTTTCATTCACACTTATTATGTTTTGATTTAGATACTAATAATTGAACGAGAGGTGCATGAATTTTAATATTAAATACTAAAAAATTATGACAATATGATTTATTTTTTCCACAAAATATTAAGGCGCAATACCCTAGCTCTATTTTACAAGTGTTTTTTTAAATGAAAAAAGTACAAAAAATTAAGACACAACAGTCTTTCATTCTTTATTTCATCTCATAATTAATGGAAGTTGCAAAAAAAAACTAAACTATATTTTGTTCTTCTATCGACATATTCCAATATACTAAAAACATTTTTATAGAATTGTTTTCCTCCTCCTCCCATTTGTGTACCTCTTTCAGGGCTAGGTAAACAACATTAGGAAAATCCTGTGTGAAAAATAAAGAATTAACACTCTTTATTATTTTTTGGTTATGAAGAAAACCACATCTACTACCTGTAGCGCGATACATGGTAAACATTTTTCTTGTGTAATAGCTTGCAAATCACACATGCATGTGAGGTAATAAAACACATGCACTAGGAAAACTCTGTGCGATGGAGTCGACCGAGAAAATATTGACAAGAATTGAACTTGTAACTTTTTGGTACAAGAATCATAATCCACTTACTCTCCCACTCGGTCACCCACTTCGGAGCTTGTTGGCACTCTATCTTTTGCGTGACAAAGGAAACCCACAATCTCTATTTAAGAGTGCAAATGTAATAAACTCTACTCTTATATAGTGTTAGTTGACACTCTTTCTAGCTTGAATCTACGGGTGGTGGTGCACGTATGTGCTTAGTTACGTTCCTCCACCACCCTATAAGCATCCATTCTTTGCTATAATTTTTAAAAAATGTCTATGATATATTCATTTATTTATTCTTTTATTTTATAACTCCATGTTAGAAAGTCCTAAAAGTGTCCAAGGAAAATTTAGGTCATGATTTTGTTCAGCGCACCTTATTAAAGAGATTAGGTGACGTATAAGATTTGAAAATAAATTTTTTGTCAATAAATTAAAAGATATACCAACGTCAAAAGTTCACTAGCTTCAATTCATCATTGTTTCGAGCACAAAGATAACTTCTCTTATTGATTATTTTCACAATATCTTATCTGGAGTTGAGTTGTCATTTTTGTCGAACGAATGAAACACATTTTTTTTTTGTCGGTTTATGTATATGTTTTAAATTTTTTATTTAATGATCGAGATGCTTACCAACCTTACATGACTTGTGTGTAACAAATAAAAAAAAAACTAGTACACATTAATTAACTAAAATGGAGATCAATCAAAAATTCCAAAGTATGTACTGTATATAAAAAGTGAATTTGTCAAGTGACAATGACCTATGGCTTGAGGACAAGAACAGTCAAAAACATTATAAAGTGTGACAGTTTTTGTGATATTTGCATTTGGACTTTTCTAGTGCACCGCTGCTGGGTTTTCAAATCAATCTTGCCAGTTGCTGTTCTTGGTTTTTTACCTTTTTTTTTTTTTTTTTTTTTTTTTTTTGGGTATAAATTATGAGACACCAGTTTGATGAATGATTGCTTTATGGTTCAATGAATAATGTTTCCTTTGTTTTGTTTGTTTTGATATGATCTATCAATATTCACTAGTGTCAATCCAAATAAATTTATCCCGTACAACATGTTAAAACTATAATATTGCAGCTCATTCGTATAAAATGTATTTTAAAAACTCGACCTTATTAAAATGCAACTCTATGAGAATAGTAAATGGTTGACGGCGTTGGCGGTAGTTCAAGCCCTTAGCAAGAATACTGAGACCAACGTGGAAGCGGATACTCTCATTAAAGACTGTAAGACTCTTATGCATGGTTTCCTTGCATGTGAGCTCAAACATATTTTTAGAGAAGGGAACCAGTGCGCAGACTATCTCGCAAATATGGGTCAAGACTCTCCATGGGGCACTAATATCCTACGGCATCCTCCCGAAGAAATCATCCTAATGCTCAATCGTGATGCTAATGGCGTAGCTGTTAGAAGATTTTACTAATCTCCCGGGGCCTATGGCCCTTCCCTCTACCAAAAAAAAAGTAAATGGTTGACGGTAGATGATCGATTAAACACTTATCATTACGTTAAAAGTTATAGTTAGTAGTGAATGAATGATTTTATTTACTTATATTTATATAACAGTCAACGGCACGTTTAGGTTATGTTTGATATAACGTATTTCACTGCTGGAAATCTCGCGTTTTCCGTCCAACATTTCCGTCCAACCGTAAATTGGTCGGTATTTTACTAAAGATTTCAACTTTCTGTTACTAAAGATGGGTGGACGGAAAGTTGGTCGGAATTTCCGTCCAACGCGGAAGTGTTGAACGGAATTTCCGTCCAACACTTGCGCGTTGGACGGAAATTCTGACCAACCTATAGTGTTGGTTGGTAAAGTCGAATTAACTGATAGGTAGAAATTAAAATAGTAGGTATTTTAATATCCGTCCAACGTAATATTGGACGGAAATTTAATATTCATTCCCACAATTGATATCTGAAAAATCATCTCAAAATAAAACCTAATTCATTCCCACCAAATATTTAGGAAATTAAAATATTACCGCTTCCAACCTTCTCTATTACGCAATAGTCCCAAATACTTAGCAAAATTAGGTCTTCTCTCCAACCAAAATTAGGTCTTCTCTACAAATAACTTCAATCTTCAATCTGAAAATCCCTAAATCCTCCGATATCGCCGCCCACGCCCTCTCTCTGGCTCCTCAGTCCACCCACGCCCTCCGTCCGGTAGCCTCCCCTTGCCGCCAACAGCCACAGCAACAGGGTCGCCATCGCCAACCGCTCCTCGCCGCTCGCCACCGACCACCGTAGTCCATACGCAGCCACGCACTCACTCTCCTCGCCACCGACCACCGTAGGAACGCCGTCTACCACCAGTGACCAGTCGGCAGTCTCCTTGCTCCTCGCCACCGTAGCCTCACGCCGTCTACCACCAGTGACCAGTCTCCTCGCTCCTCGCCACCGTAGCCTCACCTTCGTCTACCACTGTTGTACACCGACCGGCAACCAGAGAGGTAAGGGCCTACTTTCTGATGTTTCCTCTGTTCATGCTGGAGATGGTGAAGATTATTACATCTGCAGAATTATAGAAATGTTTGAAGCAGTTGATAGTGTACTTTATTTTACAGCTCAATGGTACTATAGAGCCAAGGACACTGTGTACTTGAATCATTTCCAGTGAGTTTTTCAATTGCTACTTTTTTATCCTAATATGTTTTGATTTATCCTAGTAAGTCCAATTCTACAATCTCAAGTGAGATGGATGTTGCAGAATTTGCAGAAGCTAAAGAGGATAGTTCTGAAATGACTCTCCTGGATATGTATTCTGGTTGTGGAGCAATGTTTACTGGATTATGTCTAGGAGCTAATAGTTGTGGTGTTAATCTGGTTACTGCAAGTTATAATTTCTTTTGAAAATTTATCTTTGCTTGTCAAGTTGGTAAATTGTATTAAATTTTCAATTGATATAATGATGCTATATTTAATTTGGCAAAGATCAATGGAAGATTGCTTTTCAGTTCTGTTGTAATTGTGATTCTGTACTAAGTGATGTCTTAGTTGAATTATATCCTTAGTTGATGGTGAAATGAAATTTGAAGAAAATAATTAATAAGAAAACAAAAAAATTACAGTGTTGGAGGCGTTATGAACATAAGAACATTGTGATTTGTTCTCCTGTATGTATTCATCAAGGATACTGTTTATTATAGAGTGTATTTGTGGTTGATATTATAAGGTAATAATAGACTTATATTATGTGATAAGAGGAATAGATGTTTTGGTGAATATGGACTGATGTTTTGAAACTTTTTAATTTGTTTGCATATCAATTCCATCCCAATTTGGATTATCTGCCTGGTAGGAACTAGAAACATAGATTCTTGTTTTGATTTCTATTTGCAATCCATCTAAACTGAATCACAATACAGGTCAAGAAGGTTGTGAAGGTTTCTCGTGCTATCTGCATAATGAGTCATCCTATCCCCCCCACACATGACTCTCATTCTGCTCAGGTTATTTTTCCACAAAAACAACTTAGTTGCAAATCAGACATGTGAGTTTGCTAAATATTCCAACTTGTCAACATTGTTTTTATTCTAAACACTGGGGTTATACAATATTTTGAATCACAGTATATAGCCTTTTTAATCAATATTTTTATGTGATTGATAATATATGCCCTCGACACTTTGCTGTATATAGCCTTTCACTTGTAACACTATATATCTTTTCTGAAGTTATTATTATCAGGTGTTAGAAATGCCATCCAAATTGCTGCATTATTAGCTAAGGAGCAGATCTGCAGTTCAACACTGCTAGGGCGTATATTGATGCTCCCTTGGTGGATTTTGGTACCTTTTTGGGTGCTCAATTGTGCTGACTCAACATGATGAATTGGAGGCTAAGTTTCTTGAAGAGAGAGCAACACTTGAAGCCAAGTATCATATGCTTTATCAACCACTATATACAAAGGTTTGTAAGGCTCTTTTACATATTATATTGTTATACATATGCTGTTCCATTGGCTTGTAATTCTCTGTCTCAAATTCATAATGAAGTGAAAAAATAAAACGTGCAGAGATATGAAATAGTGAATGGTATAGTTGAAGTTGAAGGTGAGAAAGCTGAAGCAGTGCCGGATTTGAAGGAGGTTGTGGATGCTGCATTGATCAAAGCCATTGAAGCAGTGCCGGATTTGAAGGCTTAATTGGGTGCAGCGAGCATACTTATGTAGTATCAAATAAGTATATTTTCATACTTAAGTAGTACGGAGTATGAATCAAGTAGTATATATTTTTTATGTTTTTTTTATGAACATGAACATAATTTTGTTGTAAATAATTTTGATGTTTAAATATATTTTCAATTTTCAATTTTCAATTTAGTGTGTTCATTAATTTGTTGATGACATAATTTATTAACAACAGTTATAAATAAAATTCTAGTAATATAAAAATAATAAAAATATTCCATATGATTTAGGATTTTCCTACCAACAGTTGGAAGGAAAATAACAAAATATAATATGTGAGTTTTCCGTCCAACGTTGGGTCGGAATTTCCGACCAACGCACGTAGTTGGACGGAATTTCCGACCAACGCACAAAGTTGATTGGAAGTTCCCACGTTTTAAAAATGGTGGGTTACTTTCCGGAATTTCCGTCCAATTTTTGTTCGTTGGACGCTATTTCCGACCAAAAATTGTAGTTGGACGGAATTTCCCACGGAGGTTTTTCCGAACGTTCCTTTTGGTCGGTATGTTGGACGGAAACGTCGTTTCCGACCAATATATCGCGTTTTCCGTCCAACATTTGTTGGACGGAAAATGCGAAATTTCCAGCAGTGTTTTAGAGCTAATAGCTCATTTTAAGTTACAAATAAATTATAAATTTTGTGTGGTAAAATACAACAAGTTTTAAATAATAGCTTATTTTAAAACATTATCCTAAATAATGTTTTAAAATAAGCTAGTAGCTAAAAGCTTTTAAGCTAGCTTATAATCTATATATGTATGTATGTGAAACAGATCTTGACCCTCCAAATCTTCACTTAACAAATAGAGGTGAAAATTAAGGGGCCGTTTACTAACTGAAAATTTCTGAGAATTTCCGGAAACTGAAAAATAGAAAACAGAAAACATGTTTATTAACACAGTTTTCATTTTGAAAACTGAAAATAATTTCTGAAAAACTGGAACACACTTAAAAACTGTTTTCGAAATGGAAAATAGAATCATCTATCATCTACTTAGTTATATGTTACTATAACCACATTACTATGATTACATTCATTATCATCCTATTTTACTTATCACTATCTTCTATCTTTTATACTTACTTTACTTATTTAAACATTATTTATTTGCTTACACTTTAAAGTTAGACTACATTATTTACATTATCAAAATTAAGAATTAAACTCTATATAATGCTTTAGATTTTGATTGAACTCAATAGATTATTAGTTTGGATGTTTTTAATTATGTTACATCATAATACAAGTTCGGTCCAGATATCGGATATTAAAATCTCACATATATTAGAATTCAAAGTAAAAGTTATATATTCATATACATGTCATTCAAATGAATGTATCCAACAAAAAATTTTAAATATTAGCTCAAAAATTATTAATATTATCTAAACTAAATTTTAGGTGAAAACTGAAAATTAGAAAATAGAAAACAGAGAACAATTTTCAGTTAGTAAACAAGTTTTCTAAACAGAAAACAGAGAATGAAAAACAGAGAATGAAAACTAAAAAAATTAGAAAATAGAAAACAGAAAACAGTTTTCTATTGGTAAACGGACCCAAAATTCTAGGACCTATTGTAAATATGCTCTCAATGTGCAAGAATTTGGGAGAAGTATCAATTAGAAGTTTAATTAGGACATATTTATCGGTAGCAAATAAAACCAGTATTATTTTAGAAGGATTTGCAAGGTGCTCCTTGTGTTTTTATTTTTATTATTTTTTGCCTGATTTTAGCTGTTCTTTTTATTTATTTATTTATTTATTTTTGCATAGAGACAAAGGTTAAATGTCGGTACGCATAAAAGATTTACTTACTTTAGGCATAATTCTTACACTGCTTTTGTTTAGGTTCGAACTTTGGTCATTTCTTCTAAATACAGCATGCTCAATTGAGCTAAGCCCGTGCGGACTTCTTCTCATAATAATTTTCTGTGACACTATTTGATTGATTATTTTACTTTTTTATTAAAAGTTGGTGGTGTCAACTAATTCATTACACCTAATGATTATAAGGCATATCATGAAGATAATTTAAGAGGAGAAAATTAGAATGGGTAAGAAGTATTTTTTAATAAATAATTAAATAAATAAAATATTCGCATTTATGACAAATTATTGGGCAATTAGGATATTGCTTAAATTAATTTTTTTTTACAATATTATAATACTCATCCAACGGTTCTCGATAGAGGCATACAACTATACAAGTTGTGCTCTAGATATTTAGAAACATTTGGAGCAAATCCAATGATTTGACACAACAATATTTGTGTGGCCCACAAAAATTTATTGTGCACCTAAAAAATTTAATGATGTCTAATAGAATGCATTAGTTAATTTCTTAGTTATTAGGAGTACATCAAGTTAAATTAGTACGATTTGTATAAAATGACAATTATGTTTTTTGTCGACGGCTGTGGAGTTTAATGCATGATATATCATGAAAATAAAATGAGATATAGAGGGGGTTTGACAAATGGCTTATCAATTAATTTTTAATTTATTTGATCAATTTTAGTTGTTTGATCAAGTTGAACATTGAATGTGAGTAATTCGTTTATTTATTTATTATTATTTTTTTGTAATGAGAAAAAAAATAAAAAATTTATTTAGAGTAATTTTTTTAACGGTTTAATATCGGTTGATTACAATTTTTTTAAAGATTAATTTACGGTTAATAATGGTTAGTTATTGTGATTTTATCTTTAAATTTACTTTTTAATGCTGAATTATTATTATTAAAAACAAAAATAATTGTTAAAATAACAAAATGATAATACAACAACGTTGATAAGAAAACTTACTTTAAAACATATATCTAAAATTAAAAATAATTTAAGTATTATTTAATAAATAAAATAATAGATTTATGTCCTTTAAAATTATTTTATATGTTACCGCTAACGGTAAACAATTAATTTTTCAAATACCTCAAATTGGTTAAAATAGTTAACACAATTAACTATTACTTATCAATTAGCATCTAATTGTCAAACACACCCAAAGAGATATGAAGCATGGAGAATGTATCAATAAAAAATATATCAATGAATATTTGTAAATATTTTTCTTTACAAAAAAAATGCTATATTCTCTCTTCTAAATCTTGTCTTATAATGTTTGTTTGCTAACATGAAAATAAAACTCTTTATATTTATTGACTATCTATGAATTAGTCGATGATATGCTGCATTAAAAATAAATGTACTTATCAACCAAGATCTATGAATTAGTCGATGATTGTTTGTTTCCATAGATGACACGTCATCTCTTTAAAAAAAAATTACTCCCTACTAATTATGTTGAGTAGCCGATTAAATATAGTGTAATTTTTATACATTGATTATCACTAATTCAATTCTTATTATCACCCTCTTATTAAATTTGTGATTTATCTTTTTTATGTGATTCACGGATTAAGGGATTCTCTCGTAACCTAGAAAAATGAATTATCAAAAATTAAAATATTGTTTGTAAACCCGTCTTATTCACAGACTTTATGTGATCATACAGAATCTACATAATAATTTTTTAAAGAAAAAAATGGAAAACATGTGAAGTGTCGTCATGTAAGTACTACAATTATGGATTTGCTAATACAAAGTCAATACCTAACAATGTCTCTCTTTCACTCCTCAAATATGTATAGGTTATAGCTTTGCTAGGCTCTCTGTGCTCCACTAATATAATTCTGAAATTATATATATATATATATATATATATATATATATATATATATATATATATATATATATATTTGGCTTTATATTAACGTACCAAATACCAATAATGGATTGCTATTTTGAGCAAACGTTTTCTTACTATCTTTAGTACGCCATAATCCTCAGTGACCGTACCCACGCGACATTTACTTACCAATTTAGTTTCCATTCATGTAAAATACTAATTTAAAATAACCAAACATATATAAATTAGATAAGATATAATCCAACATTCACCTGACAACATTGAAATTGAAACCTTTTTGTCTTAGTTAATTAAAGTGTGACATTACAATTATTAGGTTAAAGTAACTACGAGGTTCTGTACTATAACATTTTGTTCAATTTAGTCCTTATACTTTTATTTTGTTCAATTTAGTCCCTCTACTTTCAAAAGTGGTGCAATTGAGGACAATAGTAACAGTGTTAATATTATCGTTAACTTATGTTACGTGGCGGTGACGATATTTATATTCCTACTCATATATTACTTTATAAATATTTAAAATTAATTATTTTTACCACTAATATATTAAATTAATATGTCCAAAATAAATAATTACAATCATGTTCCTAATGAGATTTGGACAATTGTCCTTAGTTTCACAACTTTTTAAAGTAGAGGGACTAAATTGAACAGAATAAAGGTACAAGGACTAAATTGAACAAAACATTATAGTACCGGGATTTCATAGGTACTTTGACCCAATTATTATTATTTTTATCTCGTGTCTACTACATAATTAAAAAAAAAAAAAGAAAATGATTAAATATGCTCATGAACTTTATTCAAGAAGTCAATTACTCCCCTTAAACTTTCAAATATTGTAATTAAGCCCTTAAACATATTATTTTAGAGCATTGAGATCTAGAAATCGGTTGGTGACCTGTAATTTACAGGTTACTAGGGTTCTGGCGACTGGAGAAGGCGATCGATCAACTGACACCGACGATCGTTTCGTCGGTGTTTTTGGCCAGAATATGGTTGGAGGTCCGCTGGAATCCTAGTGACTTGTAATTACAGCCATTTACAGGTCACCAACCGGTTTCTAGGTCTCAATGCTTTAAAATAACATGTTTCAGTGTTTAATTACAACCTTTGAAAGTTTAAAGACCTAATTGACTTATTGAGTAAAATTCAAGGCCTATTTGACCATTTTCCCTAAAAAAAAAATTAAAAGATTAAAAAAAAAATCAATTCTTTATAAGGTAGTATACTGTGACCACATTTATAATGATAACATATGTGCTATCACACTACATAGTAGTTGGTAAATTAAAAGAAACTTAGACTGTAAAACATTAAAAATTTAAATACAAACTATGGAAGCGAGAAAAATGCATGCATAGGTTAATAAGTTTGAATCCAAACTTAAGGGCCATATTTATCACTCTTACACTAGAGACGGGTGGAGGTTTGGAGGAGGTAAATCACAGTGTTGGGCAGATGCTTAGAGGGGTGAGTCTAGCATCCTGATATCGAAACGTGATGTTGATTGCTATGCAAATATATGAAAATAAAGTAGTGTTTTCACTACTAGCTGTAACTTTTGGTGTACAAACCAAATGCTAGACACGCTTGATCCTGACATGTGAGATGTGCCTCAACTACCCAACAGGTCTTGATAGTATAAATACACTCGAAAGTTCTGAATACGTACGAACTGATAGGTCGTATTGTATTTAGATTTTATATAGTATGCTTGTTGGTTTAAGTCTCGAGCTCAGGTTAAGACGTGAGGTCAGAGGGTCCCGAGCTATATCGTAGTAGGTAAAAGGGCCAACAGTCCTCCTTCTAGCCTTAAATGCGGCATTTATAGCGTAGAAAGGAAGACACATACATGTCGAGCTCCTAGCATATCTGAGACGTGTCACACATGCAATCAGTTAGCTCGAGAACAATACTCTGTCAGCCACGTGTAACGATATTTCTGACGACCCACTGAGGGATGCGGTCGGGTTAAAGTTAGGAACCTAGACCCAAATCCTCAAGCAACCCTGCTCGGGATGACTGCCCGACTTAAATAGGTCGGGATTGGTCCCAAGACAACGAAGTACGTACTACGTACTATGACCGTGATTTTAGCTCGATTGTAGCATTTAGATCAGGAATATCAAGGTAATGGTCGGTCAAGGTCAAAAATAATTCCTCTAAGTGACCTGACTAGATATCGAACAAGTACACAATACGTAGAGGGAGATATCGAGAAATATTCCCTATCAAATCGAACAAGTACACAATACGTAGAGGGAGATATCGAGAAATATTCCCTATCAAATCTAAAAATGCTTATATACTAAGCTAGTACCCACGATAAGGCTAAATGTATACATCATTTTGTTGGTGCATGCATAGGTTAATATTAGTTAAAGCATTTATAACAAAATTAGCTTCTCACTATAAATTGTTGTTGGTCCAACATCTATTGTCGCTCAAATGAATTCAAAATATGATGCTAACTGCTATATAAGTATAAAGAAACATGATATGCGATATGACCAGTAAGTATGGGAAGTTAATATGTGACGCTGATTACTATATAAGTATAAAGAAATATAGTTATACTTTCACTACAAGCTATAAGCCCGTAACGACATTTGCCGTAATAGTTTACACTTTTACATTTTAGAGAGATATACATTGTAATGGTGACGAAAGGACATTTTCTTTAACATTCTAATAACTTCTGAATTTAATTTTTAGTGTTTAATACAAACTTTTAATATATAATATAACTTTTTTTTAAAAAAAATTACAATAGCCTTGTTTGGTAAAATAGTTAACTTATCAGTTAATTTTGACTTATTTGACCACTATTAGCTGTTTGACTTAGTTAAAAAAATCAATACAAGTGTTTGGTAAATAAGTTTTTTGTAATTCCAAAATACTAAAATACAAAAAATTGGTCAATTCAACCTTTTCAATTAGCTTTTTGAGAAAAGATATTATACCAAATAATTATCAACTAACAACTAATTTACCGAATATTTTTCTATAATCAGCTAATGTAATAAACAAGTTATAACCTCTAACCCAATCAACTAACAATTATTTATCTAACAGTGCCAATATATTTATCTTTATACATTAGTACATTATTACTCAACACTATACTCCGTACAAAGCTAGCAAGATCTATATATGCAACAACTAACAACTGGAATTATCTGGAACTCTGGAAGGACACTCTCAGACAAACACAAGACATTAAGTTTTTGTCAACCTAATACCTCATCATCACATCTTTATTGCATTATAGTTTAATGAAGCGTACATTTCCTATATTTTTAAAATTTATTTAATAATAAATAAATAAAGAAAAAAGGTGTATTATAAAAAAAAAAGGTGAAGTTATTATTGCGATTATATACATAATAATATTCTTATTCTCTCTAATTTATCTCTTAATAAAAAGGACAACATAATTTTTTTTTTATATTAATTATACGTTGACTAACTTATCAAGAGAAAAAGAGAATTCAGGAAGTAATGAAATATATATATATAAAAAAAACCAATCTAATAATGTCAGCACTATTTTGGAAGAAAATATCAAAAAAGTAATTTTGGAAAAAAATTATATAGCAAAACTCGAAAACAAAGTTTTATTGTAAGATAAATTTAATTATATTCTCCTCACTTTTAGTCCTTCTCATTAATTTTCAACCGGTTTAATTGGTTTAGAACTTTACTAAAAATCGATTGAAAATATGATTACTAAAAGTAAGATGTTACCCTAAAGTTTTGAACTAATTAAACCAGTTAAAACCGGAAAAATAACAAAAGAAAATACAAAAGTGACAACTCTATCAAGAAAATGTAAATTTGTGACCTTTTAAGTACGAGAATAATACTAGGACTATGTGGTCCAATGGTACCCGGGTTGGGTTTCCATTTGAAAAATTATGAGTTCAAGTTTCAGTGAAGGCGTTATTGGTTCTTTATGTTTTAGTAGGTTGAGAAAGTATATGAACAGATAAGAATAATATTATATTTGCTCGATTACCACTTTCAGGCCAATATTAATTACTCCTAAAGTCATTATTAATAATGCAAGGGTTTTCATCTTAATTGTCAAATACTACACTTAAATTTATTAATTACACAATTAAGGAGATGAAATTAAAATATTGAAAAAGCATTACAAAATTAAACAACAAATTAGCATAATAATTTGAATAGCATATTTAATTTATTTATTATTTTTCAGTTGGATATTCAACGGAAAAAAACGAGGAAATATAATCATATACTAAAGATATATTCAAAACGCCATACAATACTAGCATTAGCTTTGATAAAAAGCATGCAAAAATGCAAAAATCAAAGCCCTATTTCCACATTTTCTTTTAATATTATTACCATTTTTTTTAATAATAATAAAAATTATGGTAATAAGAGATTAAGAGGCGTTATGAAATTCGAAACCACTTTGCCAGAAGAAGATACTTTTCATGTTTTGCATAAAAATAAAGTTCACTCTAAATTATTTGGGTGTCCACAGAATTGCGCGGCGGGACTACTCGCCGGAGGAGGTTGATCCGCCGCCAAATTACGCTTACCCGCCGCCGCCGAGCGCTTCCGCTTCTTCTCATAGCTGACCCCTCTAGACTTTGACTGGAAGTCCCGGACGTCGCGGAGGAAGAGCCGCACGGCGCGGGCGCCGAACGGGTTGGACTCGGGTTTGCCGCCGTGCTCCTCGTAGGCGGCGCGGAGACGTCCGATGAGCGCGTCGAGGCTGCCCCAAGCCTGCCGGAGCGGGCAGGGACACGGCGCCGGCGGATTCGGCATTCCGAAGAAGGGGCAGTTGTGGTTGTGAACCTTAGTCTTCCCGAACTGGTCGAGGTAGCGCAGGAACTCCAGCACGTGGGCGCCGCTGCACAGCGGCAGCGACAGCGGCGGCCTGTGGTTGCGCAGGTACTGGCAGAACGTGTTCCAGTCCCGCCGCTTCTGGTTCTCGTACCGGCTCAGCGGCGGCGGCGGCGGCGCCGCTGCAGCGTGATGAAGGACGGCGGCGGCGGAGGAGTTCGAGCTCGCCACCAATCCCCCGCCGCCGCTCACGGAATCAAGACTATTCCCTTGGTGATGCGGAGTAATGAAATCCATGGAATCACACTCAAAGATCTGTTTCTTTCTCCTAGGGTTTCCAGATCTTGCAAGCTTTCAACTTTTCTTTACAAAAAAGTATATAAAAAGATTCTATGACAGATACTATTTCAGGCAAAAAACCAGAAACCTCCTAAAGCTGAGGGAGATATAATAGATACACAAAAAGAGACACAATGTAGTGTATATAATTGTGCAAAAAGAGCCCAACTTTCAGACTGGAGATGATGAGAAGAAGAACCCAGTAGAATCTTACTTTACTGCAGATAAATCATCTGAAGACTTTTCATTTCAAACATAATCAACCCAGAATCTTGAAAACCAGGCCAGCAGACTGAGTTTTCTGCAGAGGTGCTAAAGGCCTAAAGCTAGTACATATATATATATATATAAATATATAAATATATATATGTATGTATGTATGTTCCACAGAATCTTGAAATGAAAACACAGCTCACTCAAATTCAGTATGGGACAGTGGCTTTGTGTTGAGGGAGGTGCAGAAAGCAAATAAAAAGAGGGGTTTTGGTGGGGGTGGGTGGGTGTGATATGATGCCTTTTGTGGGAAGAGAGCATTTTGCAAGAAAACTGAAACAAAGCCAAGTCCTTGACATTAATGTGAGGTGATTGGAGGTTGATAGCCATCACCTAGCTGATGATGTGCCCACCAATCAACTTTAGGGTGGGAAAAAAAAATATTATAATTAAATTATCAACCAATAATATTTAGTCCCCTATAAGAGCCTATTAATTTGTGATTTTTGGAAGGTTTTTACAGTCTTTTTGCCTATGTGAAAGACAGATAAGAGTGGATAAAGAAGGTTGAGATTACTTTGCAAGAATCAAGTTTTTTGTGAGTCCCGCAGAAGAGATAAAAGGTAGAAGAGGGATGCATACGTGCGCGTTTGACGGACATCCAACGCCCAGCCAGACGCGTGAACTGCTTTGCTTTTCCTTTTTTCTTTTTGTGTTAAGTTTTGCTTTAATTTTCCCTTTTTTCCCTCTGTTTTTTATTCTCCTCTTTCCCTTCTCTTTCTTACATGACCTGTAAAAATCAATGCTAGAATCCAAATTAATGAAGATACTCTGCCAAAGACTTTGTGGCCAAGCGGCATGAAGTGACTCTCCCAAGTGAGAGGTCATGGGGTTGAGTCTCAGTGGAGGTGGTATTGACTTGTTGGGCTTTAGTAGGTTGAGAAAGTATGTACGAACACCCCTACATGTAATAGGTTCTATCTCATTTTGGAAAAGGCGGTATTGACTCGGTTGGGCTTCAGTAGGAACACCCCTACATGAAATAGGTTCTATCTCATTTTGGAAAAGGCCGGTTGGGCTTCAGTAGGAACACCCCTACATGTAATAGGTTCTATCTCATTTTGGAAAAGGCGGTATTGACTCGGTTGGGCTTCAGTAGGTTGAGAAAGTATGTATGAACAATAATAGGTTCTATCTCATTTCGAAAATGGCATAGGGACCTTGGGTCATTCTTTTTTTTTTTTTTTTTTTTTTTTTTTTTTTTTTTTTTTCTGTATGAATTCACCCCTACATGTAATAGGTTCTATCTCATTTTGGAAAAGGCGGTATTGACTCGGTTGGGCTTCAGTAGGTTGAGAAAGTATGTATGAACAATAATAGGTTCTATCTCATTTCGAAAATGGCATAGGGACCTTGGGTCATTCTTTTTTTTTTTTTTTTTTTTTTTTTTTGGATGAATCAGAATACGTTACGTAAGCAGAGAGTAAAAATTTAGTGAAATTTAAATTTGAGAGTATATGTAGTATTGTTCGTATCATTTTATATGTCTAAGCTAAATTATTGTTATTTACTTGTTATAATATTTATTTTAGTGTTAGTGTATAATAAAATTTATATATTTAAAAATTATACTAAAAGTATTATATTAAATATAAAAGTCAAATATAATGAAATAAATGAAAAAAAAATTGAATTGATTAATATGGTATAGGGAGATATACCATATATGGTCTTGCCATGCGAAAGTACTGTAGAATAGCAACTTAGCATAAACTTCAAAAGATGTCAAGATCTATAAATGCTCTGAAAGCAACTATTCATGAATCATGGCAAACTAGGAAACAAAACCTAGGAAATTTCATGCCACTCCTCAAACTTGCATGGGAATTGAAGGAATTTCGTTTCATATGACTAAAATCTGTACCTAGCTTGAAACGTAACAACCACAAGTTCAACCCAAACGATCCAAATAATTTAGCTATATATAGTAATACCTTTTTGGGAAAATGGTCTTTGTAAAATTAGTATATTATATTCAATTATGTACGTAATAAAATTCCGTAGTTTTCAAACGTCAAGATCTTTGAGGGACAAAAATGTTGAGACTAGAATTTTCTAGCACAAATTTGAATTGCCTTGAAGCTTATGTTATATAATTCATCTTTGTACGTATAGTAGGGCTATTAATCATCGTTTATTTAGTGTGTTGTGTTGTAATAGAAACACTATAAAAAAAATAATGCTTAGTGTTGGTTTCGACATTTTTTACATTTAGCCCCGCGTTGACTTTTGATATTGTTTAAATAATTATATTGGAGCTAATCAAATACAATGTCAAGTATCTAGTACCGCTTTTAACTATTACTGAATTGTCACACGTTCATGTCATGTTACACTAAGCTAACGCTATACATCCTCACCCAAATTATTCCTAAACCCTCAACCTATAACGTCAAATTTTGTATTTTGCATCGGTTATTCACAGTGTGTGTGTATGTATGTATGTATGTATATATATATATATATATATATATATATATATATATATATATATATAAAAGACTACTTCGAAATGAAGTATACTATCTTTCAAAAAAAAATGAAGTATAATAGATGATTTAAAAAAAAAATGACGTGAGAAATTTGGCATAGGATCCCTTTTTAGTGAGATATTCATTGTGTAATAAAATTATTTAGAAATTAATTTTCTTATACAGTATTTTATGAATTATTAGCTGATTACTACGAAAGATGTTTAATATATATATGATTTATGAAAAAGTTTATAATTATTATTTAAAATTGTTGTTTAGATGAAATTCGTCTTGTAATTTTAATTGATAAGAATATAAAATATCATAAAAAGATAAGATTATTATAGGTTGTCAATAAGCATCTCTTATAATGAGTCGAACTTAAACCTTTATTTATTAAATTAATTGTCCGATCAAATCTGAAATACTCTTCTCTCGAAATGGATGTGAAATACTCGGATGGCCTCTGGCTTGCTTAGCGAAATGTTGATCAACCGTTCGCGATTAAGGAATACTTTTTATTATTTGTACGTCTTTATAGCATTTGTCTTTACACTAGACTAGATTTAGGATATGATACCTTTTATTAATGAAGTTAATTGAGATACACTAGGATTTGGATACATACTTTCATCCCTAATTAACTAACTACTACTATAATATATGTCTGAGTCTAGATTCTTCCAATAATTGTTTAAACTAACATTAATATAATGTGATTGGGTTTTAATTATAAAATTTATATGAAAATTAATTAACAAGCTAAGAAATAATTCAGAAATTTGTTAATTAAACTAACATATTTTGATCTGATTAAAATATGTCAGAACGAAATTCATTGGTTTGATTAAGAGCACATGGAGAGATTTTAACCGACGAGTGGCACATAGTGTTCGCCTATAGGTTAGTTAGATTGGTTGCCTCAAATAGTGTTGAAAAAATTCGAATGGGTGTGACAACTGAGAGGACACTTAACGTGCTACTTGTCTGTTTGGGTCGCGTTCACTCCTTGACCTAAAGGTTGGGATTCGGGAGGCGTATTATTGTGGTTGAAAATGATTAATAATTGTCATATGCCCATCACACATCCCATACCAACTATAATTTTTGAGTTGTGGTAATCACTTACTGGGTGTTTGGTTGAAGGGAATTTAAATTCTCTTCCCACTTTGCATTCAAAAAAAAAATTCTCTTCCCACTTAATTCCCACCTAATTCCAAAGACCACAAAATTCCCTTGTTTGGTTGAAAGGAATTGCATTTCCCCCATTTTCATGGAATTAAAATCCCATGTCTCCCCTGGGATTTTAATTCCTGGGATTTTAGGAAGAAAAAAAGATAGTGATGAGTCAAAATACCTCTTTGTTTTTTAACCTAAAGTTAATGTCTAACAAAAACAATAGACATTTTTTTGACTTTATACTACTTATTCCCTTTCAATTCCCATGTATACCAAACATTGTAATTGAAATTCACAGTAATTCTATTCCTATAAACCAAACACTGGAATTTAAATTCTCACTTTATTCTTAGTAATTCATCTCCCATGAAATTGCAACTCATTTCCCACGTAATTCTCCCTCTCCAACCAAATGCCTTGTTAATTTAACCATTAATATTAGAATATGTGATGACAACAATTAAAAATTATTTAACTTCGGCGTTCAATAGTGTCTAATAAAATGAAAAAAGAAAAAAAAAATATTGGCGTTTGATTGTATGATGGTGATGAAAGACACAAGCGGGTACACGGAACATTCAAAGGGACAAGTAGACAACCGTCACCTTGTCGACACGTTAATCTAATCCCATGTGTAATCAAAACCCCAAATCAGTCTTAGGTAGCTCAGAATTGAAACTGAATTAGCTTTAAGTTATGATGTTAAGCAGGAAGTAACAGTTGTAGTTTCACGGAGGAACATCACCGCAACTTCCTGTGTGTTCCCCGAACCTACCTTCAATTCCTCAACCCCAATGACCTCCTACGGTCTGACCCGACAAAACATTTGAAAAGATCGATGTAAATTAATTATGGTAACTCAACTGAATACAGATATTAGATCTTTACTTAGTGTGTACAAGGAACTCTCTCGCTTTAAGAGATTACTCCTACACATGGTTGAAAAATTGCTAGGCGCTCCTCAGGCAGCGCCTAGAGCTCCTAGGCAGGGATTAATAGGCGCCTAGGCGTTCATGTATTTTTTATTTTTTATTTATTTATTTATTTTTTTAAAATTTGTTTAATTTTGTAAGACTTGATAACTATAAAGCATTTAATACTTTAA